CGCCCCCCGGCCAGGCCTCGGCGGAGTCCCGTCTCGTCCCTGGCCGGTCTGTGCCAGCCGCCGACGGGAAGAGCTTCCAGCAGGAGCCCAGACTCCTCTTCACCCCCTCGGTGCGCAGGGACCAGGGGGCCGAGTACATCTGCCGGGTGGAGCACACGGCCCTGCAGACCCCCGTGGAGCAATGCAGCACAGAGCTGCAGGTGACAGGTGAGTGCAGCACTCGGGCTGCTCGTGGCTCGGACGTGGGTTTCACGACGTGGGGTCAGGGGGCAGCAGTCTGCTACCGAGATGCCCACTCCTCTACCACACTCCCCTTCCAGAAATGGGTTGAGCCAGGCCTGGGGTGTCCCAGTGCCTCCAAGGACTGAAAACCCAGGCCTGGGATAGGTGTAGGCCATGCGCAGCATCCCCGTCTTCACCCCAGACTGTGCAGCCCCCGGACAGGAGTGGACCGGGCGCAAGGAGCCAGAGTTGTCTCACAGAGAGCTTTCCCCAGAGGCCTGCGTGCCCTGCCCCAACCATGCAGCTGCCCCCTGCCCTGTCTACACCAGAGGGGACAGGGGTCCCCTGCGCATCGCTCCTAATGCTCCTGCTGTCCCCAGCCCCGCCGGTGCTGTGCAGGATCCAGTTGTTACCGTGCTGGGACCCCCCGGAGGAGGTGCCCTTTGCCATTGACCTGCAGAACTTCTTGCCCCGGGAGATCCAGCGCGTCGAGTGGAGCTTGGACGGAAAAGCCTGGGAACGGTCGGAGCCGAGTGACTGGAGGGAGAACGAAGACGGGTCGTTCAGCGCCAGGAGCGTGTGGAGGGTGCCCGGCTGCAGACTGACCAGCGCGGAGCAGCGAGTGCGAGTGTCCGTGCAGCACGGCCCCGGGGACCCCCCGATTGAGGGAGCGCTCAGCCTTGCAGACACCGGGGAGCAGGGGGAGGGGTCACGGCCCCACTTTGGGGGGGTTTCACTTTCTCTCCCCTGCCTGAGGGGAGGCAGAGCAGTTCCCACCAGGCCTCTGCTCCCCCTGATGGTGTCTGTCTCTGCCTTGGGGGGTTTCCTTCCCCAGGTCTCCTGCGGCCCCCAGATGTGTCGGAAATCTCCCAGCCCCTGTCAGTGACGGCGGGGCGGGGAATTGCACGGCGCCGCCGCGC